TAGTTCCTGCAGCTCGCCAGGGGCGCCGCCCCATGCAGGTGGACCCAACACAAGCTCCTTACTTTGCGTTCCGCAGTTGGATGTTCCTCGTCGTGTTCACTCCTGCACTTCTCACCCGTTATATAGAAGCTATAATTTTCTAGATTCGATACTTAAGCCTTTTAATTCAGTATCCAAGTGGGGGCCCCGAAGTCTTTCCCACTAGGTACCGGTCTGGACCTGGGACCCTGTAGGCTTCCCCAGTAGTCGTAGCCATGGGCCTTAGCAATACTTACCGCTGATTTGGGGCCCCGCTGGCTTTCCCAATAGATCAGCGGTAATTTGACTTCTGCCCTTAAGAAAGACAATCAGTGTTTTGAATCAAATTGTATTTACAATGTATTCCTCCATGGACTACGACCTGCCTTACAACTGAATAGGTTGGGTCTTTATCTCTTAGTTCCTTTGCCTATGGGCTCAAGAACTGTTCTGAGTTGAACCGCTTGTTCGAACGGGGCACTGCCCCGCTATTTATAGCTCCGGCTGGCCACCCCCCTTGTCTGAGGATCCTTGGAATATTCTCCAAGGATTCGGATCACTATTGGCCAGCTTCCTAGATCACCCCTTGCCTGTTCCATCAGCTTCTCCGATCACTTTTGCGATCCACCACCCGTCACCGTCCCTCTCACTCACTGATCCTCACAAATACCAGGATCAGAACAGTCCACTTCTAGGTCACCAGCAAATATCTTTATGATTCAGTCGCCAACTTCCCATTTATCCCAACTTATCACCAGAATCATGTTTAAAGTATATAAACCATCGCCGCACTCCCTTCGCTCACTATTCTGATTCCCATTCGCTGATCCACTCCACTTCCTTCCCGTCACATCAGTGATACTACAGATTCAACCGTGATTACATGTCCATTCAGTTCTAATAATGAAATTGTATTGAAAGCACTGGGGGGCCCATTACATCCCCAAAATCATCTTTCTCAACGTCATGTCACTTGTTATTGGTATGCAAGTTCAGTTCAGTCTGCTCACATTATCATCCATGGCAGGTCACACTCAGCGTTTTGATTATGTCCAGTTCCCGCGATTCACTCGTTCCTATGCTCAACACGCCAACCTTCAGACTCGTTGTCCCACCCCGCACGCTGCCTCTCGCCATCCACGACCGCCTCGGGGCCCTCCTGCTCCTCGGCCCTCGGCCCCGCCAACTGCCGTCCAATCGCGCGCGCGCCAAGCTTTTCGCCGCCTTCGATCACCTGGCTCCGTCCTCGCCCGCTTCCCCATGCCTCCGCAACGGGCGCCAGCGCCTCAATCGCGCCCACCATCGCTGAGCACAGGCTTGGTCTTTACGCCGTAAAAACTGTTCATATTTACGTTTTCACACGTAAGAATAGTTTTTACGTTTTTGCGCGTAAAAGTTGCATAAAAATACGTGAATACAACGTAAAGACTGGTCAGTGTACGTGACGACAGTACATACAGACTTACGGAGTCCGGAGAATGGCAGCCAGACGCCCTGGAAGGGACAGAAAACGAGTTTTTGTTAAGCACCATCATCGCCCTTGCCAAGGGAGAGGTGGACATTGTGTTGGGGTGCTGGAGATGGTGGAAGATTGGCCATTGTACGTGACTTTCATCGTGTAACCTGGGTGCCCCAGGGAGCCGTAAAAACGTAAAATAGCCGCGAAAATACGCCCTTTTGCAAATTTACGTTGTTTGCGTAAAAGCGTAAAAACCAAAACGTAAACGTAAACCTAAAAACCAAGCCTGGCTGGGCAGGCCTTCAAATCCAGCACTAGCCTGGCCTTCCGTCATGCAATGGACTCCAACATCCCTTGTGGCCATCGTAGGTTCACCTGGGCATGCGGGCAGCACCGCCACGCCCATTCGACTTCGCCATCGTCATCGTCCTAGCGCCTCGGCAGCCGCGCCATCGCAGCCACGTTCAAGTGCGTCGCTGCAAGTCGCCACCGTCGTGCGTGCTCCTCTGAGGCGCCCCACAACTCGGAGTCCAAGGTTGCCGTACGGCATCGAAGGCAGCTATGACACATAACACACTGCGGCAGCTGCGGTCGCGCACCCCAAGTTACGAGATGGCACCTGTGCATTCGTCCGTATTAGGGTGACATGGGTGGCGTGTACTCCACACAAGGGTGTGACATGAAGGGCGGGGGCAGGCATAGCTACACATGACATCCCGCCAGGCTGTCACGTGAGGCACCCAGCATTGAGTTCAGGCCAAGCCTGGCCTATGGTGGGCATGGGCGACCTACGGCACCTCGTTGTGCACCTTGTTGTTGTGCTATCTGTCGCCTCACAATACCGCATCTGGTACATTTTCCTGGACTATCATCAAGCTCTTTTCCATTAGACCTTTTGTCGACAATGCACGTGCTCAGCACACCATCCCGCAGCGTGGCCAGCGGTCTGTCCGACTGAGACTACTTCTACGTCAGACCCAAGAACTGATTCCTATCATTCTCCAGCCTGATTTGCGACTACAGCCTGCACAGCAGTGCGCGGTGCCCGTCGAGGTCACACTGCCTGCATGCGGTCAGACGCAGTGCCCCACGATGGGTGTACGGACTATCGGAGGCATCGGAGCTGATGTCGCATCTTCGGAGGCGTACTGAGCGACGGCAAAGGCGGGAATACGGCTGCGAGAGGACGATGATACGATGCCGGAGGCTACCGAGCTACAGACAGACGATCGATTGACAGGGAGTTACTGATATGTTCAGTCAGCGATGGGATAGCGTCATAGTAACGTAGGAACGATCCTCGGGCAGGCAGGACTAGAAGTGACCAACCGTGGATGAGCTGTCAAGGGTCGGAGCGTGACGGCGCCATGTTTGGGGCATGGCCAGGCCGTGTTTGGGGTATGCCGCCGCCATGCTCGGGTTTGGATCGAGGGATGATCTGATCCATGACAGGCGCACTATGGTGTGTATTGGATGGGAAAGAGTCTTTTCTTAGTCGGAGTCGTACTGGGGAACGTTGGAAACAGTACCAAAGACAATAACGATGTACTGATGCACTGGTTTTAATACAAATACGAGGCGCTCCATGGTGAGCGAGAGCCTCGCTGAGTCCGTTGATTCCTGTCTGATCCGTGTGCCTCTGGTCGTGCTGGTTGCCGTGTCGGTGCCTGCCTGCCTCTGCCCCTCTCGCGACAGCGCTGCCCCAGTCGGTCGGGGCTTCGTGTCGACTTCCCATCGCCGGCAGCGTCGCGTTGGGCGGAGGAGCACCCGGTGGAGTCTGTCTACCACCCCAGAGGGTCTGACAGAGCGCAGAGGCGAGCTCCGTTAACGATCGATTCCACTCGATCGGACATTTGGTTGGTTGGTAAGACTGCGCTGGCTTTGAAGGAGTGACGTGGTCGGTTATGGCGCGTTGCTTTCAAGAGATCCAAAACGGAAATGCGAAGGTGCGCACCACGTTTAGGCTGGGGATGCGGCAACACAGGCTGGGAGACAAGGCTGCGGGAGTGGGGAGCGATAGCTGCCTACCCTCCACGCCTCTGGTCACTGGCGCCAATTTCAGCCACCCCTGGTACCCTCGACTGGCAGCTGCATGTGGCCAGAGACGGCGTCCGCAAGGGGCCAACAGCAGTGGTGGATTGGGCACACAGGCGCACATTCCAAACGTGACCCACTGAAGCGCCAAGAATGGAGGGCGATTGCTGCCTCCCTTACCCGCAGCTTTGCCCCTTTGCAGAGAGCCCCTAGGCCCTCAACTCCAGAGATTTTGTGGATTTCCCATATCCAATGCAACAACTGCTGAGTAGCAAGCCACCTCAGCCAAAGCATAAGTCTGAAACCACTGGACCAATTGTGAAGGAAGAACACTGCCCTGCATACATACAACACATTAGCAAATTGTTTCTCCTCTGGCACCCAACAGGAAATCATAAGTTTGATATTTCAAAACCGCAATTTCAACGTGTTCAGGACGTTCGAGCCTCCACAACGCGAACGTAGTTCCTGGAATGCAAACTTCAACGTCTGCCGCACGTCTGGGTTTTCAAACGGGGGCACGAACTTGTGATCACGTTTGTTGACGTTTGGGCCCAAACGCAACACAAACGTGGAAACGGCTGTTCGCTGACGCCCGTGACTACTTCAACTTCTTGCTATTTTGGGGCCCAACGCGGCAGCCACCTGTGGAGTGCACACATCACAGCACGCCTTCACTCAGGCGCTGCTCCCTGTGCCAATGCTCGCCTGGTGTGACGGCGTCCCACGCAGAGCCCAGCGCCCTCCGCTCTTGAAATCTTAAAAGCCGGGACTCGAAATCCCAAAGGCACCTACAAGGTTGAGCGCCCATGCAAAGCACGCACGAACCACTCTCAAGTGCAAGTGCCAGAGCTCACGTGCACATGCACCACCGAGATTGACCTTGCCGATTACAATGCAACTCAACAAGCTGCCTGGGCGAATGGGACCGCCATCGCACAGCACACAAGTCATCATGCGCCACTGGCCCCCTGCACCAATCCCTACAGGCCTAACGCCTGGGCCTCGTCGCCTGGGTCGTCCCCCAAAGAATCTGCCACACTGGCCGGTCCAAAAGAAGGAGTAAAAAACCACGTCCGCCGTTCGTTGTTCCCTGCCGTGCTCGATGCTAATGCCCCCCTCCCCCCCCCCCCAACCACCACCACCACCAAGCAATGCTGTATACAACCCGCTACAAAGAACAAAAGATCCACACCCTAGGCCCCCTCCCCTGGGCGCCACTGTCAAGTCTTTTAAGCCAGCCTGTCACCCCTCGGGCCCCGCCCACTCTCCTCTCCCCCTGCCGTCGCCCCACTTACTAGCCACTGAAGCGTGCCCCATGGTGTTGTACATCGTCGGCCGGAATGAAAGGAAGCGTTGGCCATGAACTCGGGGCCACAATTCACAACACAAGTTTCTCGCAACTCCGGCTGATCTCAAGAAGATATGAAATAACATCAATTCATTTTGGGGATCCAAACCACCGGGACCCAAGTGCCACGACGTCGCACTATGACACTGTGTTACACCCAAACCCAAAGTGCTCCAGACCCTCCAGGATGCCCAAGGCTTCAGGTTTCGTAGACATCCACAGGCGAGACCCGTCTCTGCCGTTCTTCTGCTGTGCCACCCATTCCTTCAAATCCTGCTGCGCATTCCCCACCACGATCGCAAGGTTGGGGCCTGTGCCAAACGACATCAAATTGGTAAGAACGGGAGTTCAGGATGTCCTGCTGGAGAACCAGTGGCACAGAGGTGCAGGGAATGGCAGCCTGCCATGGGACACTCTTGACACGGACAACAAAGGTTCTCTACACTCAAAAAAAAGTTGACACCCACAGTGAGTCCCACCAGAGGGCATGCACGTGACCAAGCAAATTTCGGCAACCTCAGCTACCACGCTGGGGCAACTGCAGTAGGTGGTTAAGCCCACTAGAGAAGTTGAACATGCATATGCCAATCAACGCCGTCCCCATTGGCATCCCAGGCTCTATATCAGTGTATGCTTGGCGCTTTATGGAATCAGCGATTGCTTAAGGGCAAAACCACAGCAGGGTATGAATCCTGTGTCCTCTGGAAGCATGCAGTGCACTTGGGAAGAGGCACCACATAGGAACACGATACAACGAGAGAATGGAGGGCATTATCAATAAAGCAAATGAATGGAGCAGAAAGGCAACAAAGGCAACAAAACATGCAAGTTCTTGAGGATGTCTGGCACACATTGTTCACATGAGGATGTCTGGCATATTTTCTGACCAGACTGAGGCATACAGCTGCAACAAGGGTGCTCCTGTCCTCTGCTGATGGATGGCAGCCACAAAGATGCATTGCCCTCCAAAATGCAAACAATGAGACTGCACACATTTCTGGTCTGGGCATAAGCAACGTTTTGGAGCCCGAAATGGGCTGGATGGTCACAGGTTCTCTTGCAGTTTCAGGTTCCCCTCTGGAACTCTTGCATATAGCTCTTGCAATACTGTTGTCCGTTTAATGTTCAAAGACATGGAGTCACATCACAATTTGAGACACAAAGCTTGTTCTCAAATAGAGCAACAGAAGCTGATGCGGAACACTTTCCTGGGAAATTAGCAGCTTGATTTTCGAGCTGTCGTGACGCAAGCACAACAGCTGCATATGCTCAAACAGCGCACCGAATCAGTCTTGTCTCTGACAACACAATCTTTGCACTCGGGCTGTTAAGTATTCGGTGCACAATATAACCTCTACCCTTAACCCAGACTTATAAAGTAGAGCCTGTGGTTTTTGCAACAAGCTTACCAGGGCTTTAATCAGTGCCCGATTTCTAACTAGGTAAGATGGCATCTTGAATTTGGTACGCTTAGCACTCATTCGGACCCCCACACGCCCCCTTTTCTCCCCTCCCTTTTCTCATGGGGGGGTACTCATGGCACAAATGTCTTTCCTTACAGCTCAATTCAGACCCCGGACCAGGTGCGTCCAGGCGACAGGGTGCTAACCAAAATGTCTGGAATCGCCCTCAAGGAAAGCATGGAACGCAAAGGCAAAGGTTGCATGAGGCAACATTCACTGGCACTGACAGCAAGCAACAAACTACACCCTGAAGCTGGATTTGAATTGCAAGCGTTTTCGAATTGAACGCATAGAGTTGCAGCACTGGTTGCTCTGTCCCAGATATGAGATTCTGCAACCCAGAGGCTTGCACGGACAGTCACATTCTCCTTATTGGTTCAGTGCTTGTCAGGAGTTCCTCATCAAGAGGGACACTGAGCAAAGAGAGTATGAACCACAGAATAAAACACAGCAATCCGCCAGATTTGTGTTGCGGGAAGAGACAAAGCCTGCCAACACTGGGAAAGGGCAGTGGCCAGGCAATCATCTTGACTGGGGTCTGCAATGACTCACCAGACAGCATCAAGATATCATTCCCAGAGTCCCCACACGCCACAGTGCTTGTCAATGGGAAGCCTTGCTGCTTACGTATGTAGTCCAGAGACTCGAATTTGCCAGCCCGATCAGAGACCACGTCCAGGAACCTGGCAACCAGCGCAGAGTGCAGTCAACACAGTGTTTGCTACCTCGTGCCACTCTCACTGTCTCTGTAGCTCCTGTTTCTTGTGAACGAGACAACAATGCACAGTACTGAAACGGTTTTGACAGGTTTGCTCAACAGGTGCACAGGCAGATGCAGAGGCACAATCTACAATTGGTGCACAATCTGATTGAATGAGTTCATTGCAGCGACGTGACAACAACATCGGGCAAACTGTCAACATGTTCTGCGTTCTGACCTCCAGTCACCGGTCCCACTTGTGATGAGCTTTGCCTTGACATAATTAGCCTTCAACACTTCCCCCATGTGCTCCAGGACATGGGGAAGAACATCGTTTCGCACACCACAAGTGACCTTGTGGTCGTTCTGTTCCTCTGGAGGCCTGGCCACACACATCGAAAGATGAATTAATCCACAATCGTCAGAAGCACCTTTCTTCCAGACTATGATTTTCATGATGCTAGGAAACGCACGCACGCATGCATGCACGCACACACGCATGCATAACCGCCCACCTGTCCGCCTGCCTGCACGCACGCACGCAGAGCACACCTCCCAACTCACTCCTAAAACTTCGAAATGAATGGTGTCATAGAAGTGTAAGTCCACGTCATTCTGTCGGCCCAGGGAAAGCTCCAGTATCTCCTCCCCCCACCCCCCACCCCCACCCAGTTTCTTTGAGTGGAGTGGTGCTGAGATAACTGTGTGTGTCACTGCTCTCAGTATCATGCAAGCCACCATCCAGTGCCTGCTGGCCTTTGTGTCTGACACTAAATTAAGTTTCTAGTGCCCAATCTGCTCAAAAGGGCTCCAACGGTGCATGGTTTGTTCCCATTTGTGCAATTCATTGTTGGCCCCTTCAATGTTACGTTTGGATGCCCAGTCCTCTACTACTCTGGTCAAATGAGTCTGGAAGACTTGTGACTAGAAGTGGTGTGCCCACTGTCCGGCATTCTCTCTGTGGACCCCCACCCCAAACCCCTAAACTAGGACAAAGCAAAACAAATTCAACACCAGCAAGTGTGAATTGCTTCAAATTCACTGTGCAAACAGCACAATACAAAGCACAGCTCATACACCCTGCATGCGATGATTTACGCTGGAGAATTGGATAGACATTATTTCCTTGCTGCTCAAGGCCAGATCCTGGTGAATACCTGAAGTGCATGGCCTCCTTTCCGACCAGTGCAAGCGCAGAGTACGCTGCTTCACGCACTGCAGACAGCCGCCAGCCCTTGTCCAGCTGGCTTGACCAAGCCTCGTCCTCCTCAAACGACCCGCCATTGTTTCTGTAGATCTTGGTCCCAACAGCACTTATGAGGATGTCAGGGACCGCCAGGACACCGGACTTCTCAGCCAGCAGGCCCTTAAAAGACTGCAGGTTCCTGCCAAGATCGCAAAGGCAGCCCAGCTGTCACAACGAACTTCCAAATGAACAACTGTAAACAAGCATGAAATACACAAAGAACAACTTGTGAACTTGCACTCATGTCAGACCCAAAACACAACAAGCACCAAACTCGTCACCCTGCTTTATCCATTTCTTCCAATCTCCCTTCACAATTGTACTATATTATATTATATGTTATCTTCTCTTCTGTTCACATCGGTAACTTGAGCTTGTGCCTCCTCTCCTTGTGTGGAGTAAAGATAACTCGGGGACTATTTGGAACTGATGTTTGACAAAATGAACAATGGCCGTGAGGCCTGTGATCTGGACAGGGCAACAACGACAACTTGCTGCATCGCAGGCATCACATGGGGGGACCGCGTCTACAGACAGCAATAGTGGCACAACAATACCAAGTGGTCCATGACTGCCAAATATGTCAACCAATTGGTTCTTTGCACCAAAATGACTTGGCCTGCAGCCGGCAAATGTGCTAGTGGCAACGCTCACAAATCCCTTCGACAGCTGGCAGTTTTGCTATGTAACAATTCAGCAGTGAACACAACAGAAGTGACGCAAAATAGAGAACGACAAAGCCAATACCTGCCAGTGTTGTACACCAGAACAGAACCCCTCAACACAGCCTCCTGCTCCCAAAAATCCCTGAAGGCACCTGTTGCAGCATCGTTCCCGACCATGGTGCCGTCCAGGTCACTCACAACCAACACGCTCTCACCCCGCACCTTCTCCACCTCTCCATCCCTTAGGACATACCGTCCGGGCCCTGTAATCATGTAGTTCTTGTCTGTGGCAAAAGCATCCAACAATCAGTGGACGATGAACTGCACGGAGGCCAGTTGTCTACAAGCCATGACAAACCCCTTGCACCTTGCAGGCGATGACTGTGGTACAGAAAGACGCAATCATTGCTTCTTCAGCACCCCAGAGTCAAATTCCAGATACAATCAGCCCAACAGATTAAACAATGTGCACATTGCAAGCCGATGGCTACATGACACAAAAGAAAACGACGAACGATTGCCAAATGGGAATTCTAAACTGTGCAACTCTCCTCCAGTTCTCCGCCATGCTCAGCAGGTGCTGGGAAACCTCTGAGTACCCAGGGTAAAAGTGAAGGCAACTGCGTGATCCACAATCCAGCCAGTGCTCACTAAAACAGCCCACATTGGATCAGACCTCATTGTGGGGCAGCTGGTTGCAGAGGTGCAGTTCTGTCAACCTGCTCATCGACATATGGGTTCAAGCAACCATTGCAATCAGCACATTGATGCATCTCACACCTGATGAAAATGTCTGCCAGGAGGCAGCAGTGCTGGAGACGTGGCCTGCTACAATCGTCCAGCTTTGAAACAACCAAAGCAAAAGAATTACAACAAGGAATAATCACCTTTGCATCGCCCAATATGATCCCACGGGTAAATGTGCAAAAGCAAAGGATGATTTTGTGCAGTGGGGCAAGCCGATGCTGCCCCTTCCACGATCACCTGTTCGATATGAGCCTTGCTACATGCAGTACATTCATTTAGTATTGCTACCAGCATTGTAGTACATTTCTCAGCAACAACACACAATGTATTGCTGTCAAGTGCTACTTGCTCCCTTGAAGTGCCAGGACAATCTTGCCATTCTGTTAACAAATGCAATCAAGGCCGTTTTGAGCACACTCGCCTCTGCTAGGCTTGTCCCAGGAGCCACAATGATCCGTCATCACAAACTCCATCCAAAACCCCCGGCCGTTGCAATTGTTCATGTCAACCTCCATGTCCACCATGAACCAGCTTGAACTGGAAGCCACCTGAGGCAATGCCACAAGCAAGATTAGCCCCGCAGTGGGCCCACTATGCACAGTGGCCGCTGAGTGTCCAGGCGGAAACATGCCCTGAGCAAATGCGAATAAGCAAACATTACCAAACAGAACATTCTAGTGGAAGGACAAACCAGACTAGCTTAACAATCGCTTCGTACATGCTAGGCCACGTCTTGGCCGTTGGGCCTAATGTCAACGCGAGGTACAGGCACACAGATGACAGGCACACAGATGACGTGACCTTGCCAGTCCTGACAAATAGCACATGACAAATAACACACAGAAAATCCAGCCGCCCCAATCTGCCGGTGCAAGGCATGCCAGGCATACTGCTAACAGCCTGCGTGCCACCCTCCTCCTGGGAAATTACTGCCAGATGCTTCATGCCCAGCAACTCCAGGTATGAAGATGGCTGACCATGACTACAGGGTGTCGTGACTATTCCATGAACAGCACAAAGGATTACTGCAAAAATCCTCGCCGGCTAGATTTGCTCCTTGCATCACGCAGCCCATTCGCCCGTCAGGCGGCGTCCCAAAGGACAACAAAGCTGCACTACTGTTGCCAAGGTACTCACAGCGTCGCCTCTGCAACAATCCAAGCAAGGCAATAACCTTACCAAAGAGGACGCCCGAAACGGAAACAAGCACCGGCGCCCAACTGCCGATGTCCCAGGCGTCCGAGTGGGCTCAAACGGAGCCAAAGCGCGGCAAAGGCGACGAAAGAATTTCGACAAGCAAACAAAAACCAAAGGGTCGTCCCGACGCCCTCGACCCGCGCCGATCCCGAAAAATTGCAAACCGCCGCGGGACCAGGATCCGCGCGCACAGACGCTCCCGCACCTTAGACATCTCCACGTCCTGCCATGGGCCGCCGCACTGCGAGCAGTGCATCGCAGGGTTCTTCCACCCCGTCCAGTAGTACAGCACGATCCGCTCCGACCGCTGCCCCACGCCGAAGAACCGCATCCGCGGCTGGGCCGACGGCCGCGGCGGGCTCGAGGTGGCCTCGTCGGCGGCGCCCTGCCAGCGGGCCCACACAATTCAAATCCCCGCCACCTCACTCCGGCGATTCGCCCGCCGCCCAACCGGCGCAAAACCACACCCCCATCCCACCAAGCGCCGAGAGCGCCGCGCACACCACGCACAGCTACCCCACAAACAACAACGACAACCAACACACCAAAAGCGGCGCCCATGCCCGCCGAGATCTGCAAAACACCCCCCAAGCCCCCAACCCCAGGCCCCCGCCTCCCAACCCACCCACCTGCCCCTTCAGCAAAATTCAACCGCCCCTCCCCCCCCGGCCAATCAATCGGATCCCTCCACCGCACCTTGAGCGGCCAATCCGCCCGCCGCCGCCCACCCCTTGCGCCCCGCCGCTCCCTGCCCCGCCCCTCCAGCCCGCGCATCCCCTCCATGGACGCCCGGCGGCGGGGCCCCACCCCGTCAGCCGCCCTCCCCTCGCCCTCCCCAGCCAGGCACCGGGCCTCCAACCTCGGCGAGGGCAGCGCGTAGCCCGCCATCCCCCCTCCGGCGAGAATCGCCCAGCGCACTGACGTGCCCGGCGATAGTATCGAAAACCGGCAGCCCGGGACCATGCCAGTCCCCTCCCGGGGGGGATGTCGGGATGCGTCCAGCCGCGCCGCCCCGAGCGGAAAGGGGCGAGCGCAGTTATGCCCCCGCGCCTGCGCGTGCCACCCGCCCGCTGTCGGGGCTCACTGGCAGGAATGGGCATTCGCCGGCTTCATGGGGGGCGGGGGGCGCAAATCTGGGTGAGCGCCCCGCCGTACCCTGCGCCGTCGGTTGCGGCGGTGCGCCTGCCGAATCGTGGTCCACGGGGTCCACGTGACGGGGGCCGCTCGTAGTCATCGGGGGCGAAGCGGCGGTGTGGCGTGGGAGCGCGGGCGCGTGGGCCCCTGGCGAGGGTTCCTTGGGGCACCGCCTTGGCGTGTGCCGCGCGGCGGAAAATGTTTTTCGCGGTGGTAATGGCGGCGCGGCGCAATTTTGGCGTATTTTCTTCTGCAAAATACGCCTCAGCCTTAACGTATTTTTCAGCGCGTTTCGCTGAAAAATGTCAGCGCCAGAGAATTTTCGGGCGCTCGGCGATGGGCAAAAGCTTTCCCCTGCAAGCAGTTCCTCCTCGTGAAAGTTGCCAGCGCACAGGAATCGTTTCACGAGATGTTTGTGATCCAAAACTTGTCTTCACTTTCGTGGGCCGTCTTCTGCCGCTGGGCGCAGAAGTGGCCGTTCTGTTGAAACGCCTGTGCACCAGGCTTGCGCAAACTGCCATCCACGGCACCCGTCCCTGCAGCCGCGGCAACGGCAGCGGCAGCGCCACGTTTGGTGATCCCACCGCGCGCCTGCCCGCTTCGTGCATGGGCTACGGCTGCGCGAGCCGCTGGTTGGCGGCCTCCGCAGTGAGGCAGTGAAGAATCGATGCGCCGAAAGCCCTTGACCAAGGAGAGATTGAGAAGGAGCGCAGCGGCACCTGGGGCTGCAGAGGGGCAGTTAACGGGGAGCAGCCCGTTTCACTTTTGTCCCCAATGAAGTAGATCTAGAAATGCCCGATTGAGGAACGACCTAGTCGTATCGGCATATATGTGTTCTATGTTGCCCCTCAGCAAACAGCGGCGCGATTCGCAGCCACCGTAGTGCGGACCAGCGGCCCGTATTGTACCAAGCGCCCAAGGTGCCTTGGGAGAGCTGTCGAGAAATTCTGGGTCGAAGTTTCATGGGCAGAAGAATTCGCAGGGCAAATTACCGCGCCGTGGCTTGAGCGCGAAATGCGCAAACGTCTTGTATGCACGCACCGCCTGGGTATGCAGTAGTGCCCGGAATTCGTGGCCTGCCGTGCATTGTGGTGCTTTTCTGAGGCGAAATAAGGACCTCATGGCTATCTCTAGGCTTTCACACGCAAGATTTCTTGCTGTATGCTGTTCGCACGGCTTATGTGCATTGTTCGTGACGCCACATAACGATCGCCGTCTCGTTGGGTGGTGGTTCATGTATAAATTCGATGCGCACCTAAGTATGCCTTGTGTACCTTACATGGGATGGCCTGAGTGGGCCGCTATTGCTGTGAAGAAAGAGAAAAGTGAAAGGCAATCTTCTGAGAATGAGCTGTGAACCATAGGAGTGCGGGTGAATGAGGTGCGGAATCTGGGAGGCGAAGGCTGGTTGAAAATACCACCGTTGACGCTCACAAGATGCGCCACCGACCTGTTCCCAGATTGTGAGAAATATGGCAATCTGGGAGGGCCTGGGCCACAACGGCATTGGTTGTGTGGTTGAACCGAGAAGGCTGGGTAAAAGCCATGGCCTGGTCCTCTGGGACCACCGAACTGCCTAAGCTGACGGGTGAAGCCATGTATTTTATGGATTCACATGAACGCGAGGATTCCTTTTGTAGATTACAAAAGGTATATGTGTATTTATATGTGTATGTTGTTGTATGCAACGGGAATGAATGGTTGCCCCGGGGCATCAGAGCAGCGATGGCAAACAACGACTGCTTGGCTCCCAACAGTGTAAAACTTCGAATCTACAGTTAAATTTATGGTGGAGCAATGCCAGTTTTTAAGCTATAAAACGGTTGACTATTCAATAGTGCAAATACATTAGTGTTAGGATTTGTGTAAATGAAATGGCCGAATCTGTCTGGATTGCAAAATTTGTTAATGGGCTCAATTCAAGCTTGGAGGCAAGTTGATGCTGAGCTTGGATTGAATCAAATTAACATATCTACATGTTGGATTAGATGTGCCTTTGACCCTACTTTTGGGAAACATGATGTAAGATGCAGCACTTTACAGTACTTGCTTGTACAAATATTCCTGAAAGGGTGTTCTTTCATGCTGTCGTTGAACACTGCATCTAATTGCAATTGTATGTCGTTGATGATGACACGTGCTGGAAATTGCAGTATTGTACCCTTGTTGACGCACTGTCCTCAATTGCAGCGAACACCTGCAATCACGCATGCCAATATTACGGGAGAAGCAGAATGTGCTGCATGATGGCCCTCACAAGGGACATGGGGGAGATTTGGGTGTGGATTGCCGTGGACGGTGCTGACGTGGCTGACTGCGAATGGATTCAACTTGAGCAGAGGTGTCTGGTGCCCGGGGTTGCATGAGGGTGCCCAGGGTGGTACGGTGATTGACGGTTCAGGGGTGGCGTCGATCTGCTTAGAACAATTTTATTCTCGGAACGTGACACGACCTATTGTGAATGGGACGGGGGAATTTGGGGTGCATGAGCTTTGGGCGTGAAAGCGTTGTCGTTTGCCACTGTCCATGTCCGTGTCGCAGCCAAACACCACGTGGTGGGGACGGTGAGCTGCCAGGTGAAGTTCGCAAACGCGAGTTGGATGGTTGGAGTGTGACAAGGCTGAAGTTGGAGCAACCTGCGAAGGAAGCTTTTGGTGGGGTGACCAGGGCATGGTTTGAGGGTTGAAACATTTGGTGACAAGTTTCCACTGCTCAACAAATAACTGCAGCCACCAATTGTATGCCAGTTAAACAGGGGGAGCGGTGCGACACCTGCCGGGCTTATCAATCGCTTGCGCGTGCAGCAACAGTGCCCTTAAGGCACTTCCAACCATTTGCCACAGATTCTTTTCTCACGAGCGTCAGCTGACACTGAGCTTTGGGCACATGGGGTGCATATGGCATATGGACGAGTAAGATGTGCCCACAGCACAGGCATACGAAGTGCACAGTTCGAACATTCAGCTCAGCCCCCAGCCCAGCGCAAAACCTGATAATCAGCTTCCTAGGGACACCAATGGAGCCCATTGTGTCATGGATATGAACTCTACGGAACCCTTGTGGAAGTCAGGGAGCCGATGGCAACCTGCCCTGCATTGATATGTGACATTCTTGCTCGAGTGACTCACTGAACCACAATGGATGGACGCCCTGTTGAAACAGATGATGCGGCAACACACAAAAGCGTACCGCAGAGACAAGATTAGAATCAGGGACAGGTCTTAGCTCATTTGAGGCCAATCGCAGCCCTGCTTCTGGCACAAAACCAAGGTCACAGTCCATCAAATCCATGGGTGGCGGTGCAAAGCAACACGCAATACAAATGCAATTTGTTCAACAAATCCCGAAAAAATAAGGCTGCACTGGTGTGGTCCAGGACCTGCCCCAGAGCTGATGCTCTGAGCATGAGCCATTCAGCATTTTCTGCCAGATAGTTCGGCTATTCCCTGTTCTGGCCTCTGGCCATGGTGCCCAAAAACTCCCAAGTCATTCCCCAACGAATCCTCAATAATGTACAAAAAAATTCTCTTCCAATCAACTCTCCAACACAATGTGAAGCATTCACAAGTTCTTGTGGGTGTCGCGTCCCATGATGGCCATCGACACATGGTGCAGCAGCCACCCCACTTGCTTGCCCTAAGTGGCCACGATGCCTAACAGGAGTCTTGACATCAAACAGGACACAAAGCAGCATGCCTGGGTGCATGTTGTTGTGCCTCTCGGTCGATCAATCAGCCCCGTGTATCCTCTGTCACCAGCTCGATGCATCATATACCAGTGCCACATCAAGGCAACATCATGTGCCTGGCTGAATGTGTGGGCACCACAGCCATCGTTGTGCTCTTTCAATTCCAAACCACAGAAAGCAGCCATGGAAGCTACAACTTGACTGGCTTCAAGGCGACCGTGGATCTGTGTCGTCTGTATGCTGCATCGGCAGCCCACTCTCTGTAGTCCCCGCTCAGCTTGGACATAAACATGGGCAGTAGCATCTGCATAAGTGCATCGAGGCCTGTGTTTGCGAGAACAGCACAGTGAGTAGCTGCTCCAAGATTCCCTTGGGACTTGTTGTATATTGTTATGCATTTTCTATTTCATACCAACAATTACACGAAAGCATTTCATCCACACAAATTTCCTGCCATTATGTCTTATCACTACCAGGGATGCAGCCTTTGAGCTAATAAATCGTATGAGTGGGGTGTTGATTGATTGGAACTGCAAGAAGCGATCAACCAATTTGATTGCGATGGACGGCATGCAATGGCGACATAATCTTTATGGCATTGCTGGACACGACCCATGATTTTACTCCCACAGTGCTATTGGGTGCTGGTGTTGCTCTTCTTGGGTTGAGCCTGTGCTCCCTCGTTTGGCAGTAGCAACACTGAATTGTTGATTTGGGCCGCATTAAGGACTGATTAAGGTTCATGCACGATGCCTGTCAATTCTTTACACATGCAAGAGAAATGGCGTTTTAGCAGACTCACAGCCGATCAGCCTCAACCAAAACCAGATGCAATCATCCAACCCATCCACACCTGTGTTGCAGCTGGCCTCCATGATTGGTCGTGGCATCAGAGTGAAAGGTGGCACAACCTCGCACCAAACATCCAGACGTGTGTCCCCACGAATCTTGGGCCTCACCGAGCCTCCCAGGGACCTCCCAGTGCTGTTGACTCGGTGTTGGCTGGGTGATGACCCAGCGGTGGGCGCAGGACTCCTTGCCTGCCAGGTGAGGGTCGCCTCAAAGTCCAGGCAGAAGCGCTTGTTCAGGTTCAGGGCATCCAGCACGTCAGACCCCTCCATCCAGCAGCTCTCGGTCTTCATGACCACACGGGGTGGATTGGACAAGTGGTCAACGGTCACTATCGCCAGAGGCTCGATCCACACATTGAGTAGCTGGAGCAGTTTGCAAGAACATCGAGCAGGTGTCATCGTCATCATTGTAACTGCACTGGCAGGGGCTAAGAAAACATTCTTCAGGAAACTTCAGGTGGAGTGATCACAGTGGAAAGCAGCTCTCAAGCTGGTGTGCTGTATTTGAAAGGATTTGTGGTTGGCGATCATGATAGCTAGGAGTTCGATGCACTCCACAGGTAAATAATGGGACACAGCACATATGAGGTGGTTGAAGCCAATATCAGCATATCAATGTCATATGGATGCCTTCATCTTGAAGACTTGGCACTTCCACAGCAGCAAACCAAGCATTCCACTTCCAAACCCAGAATGTGCTTCAATCTTTGCCATGCTTTTGCGGCAACAAAACACTGCTTCAAAAAGAGCACATTGGGTCATTCCTCATAATCCTATCGCACCCATTGCAATCCATTGCAATTATTCAGGTGAAGATGTTTTGTCGATAAACTACAATACTACATGTGGATGCTGATGTTGCTATAAATAACAACTTTAATATAGCCACAAAACAATAACCAGTGCTGCAATATTGTGGAAGCAATAATACAAGCATTGCTCCATTTAAGACAAAGCAAACCAATGGATGTAACAGGTGATAAAGGGCTACAACCTTGCCCAACCGGTAGAGGCGCACAATTAATCAAGTCCTGACATTTATAACCCATAGAAGTTCACACAAAATCTCATGGTGGCTTTCAAAGGCTGTGTGCTCTCACAGCACAACAGATGAATCAGCATCGGCAACTTCCGATGGCAAAAAGTTGCACACGTTGTACAAGCATACATACACTTGCTATGACCTTGATACAACCATTCCGCACTTGTTCTCATTAAATTTGTGTCTAAACTGTGCTTAATTGCTGAAATTCGTACCCTGGTGGTATAAACCGCGTTTATGCAGGGAAAAAAACATTGCTGTCCCAATTTGCTTCTTCTGACATCTTTTTCACTGCAGTTACCAATACTCACATTGATCTTGGGTACTTGGAGACGGAACCTGTTGCCACCAAGGAACTGGATTAGCTTGGAGTCAAGCACATTGTACTTTGTGACTGGCAGCCGCATGTAGGCATCCAGCCCAGCTTCCCCTCCTGGATCCTGCGACACAGGCAGTGGTCCTTCACCCCCTAGATGGTGACCAGGCACTCTCATTCATTCTGACAATGTAAACAGTGTAGTTACACACAAGAGCAGACCACAGTCGATGCAAAGGAGGAATTGTTCAGCACATAGTCGGAATTTTCTTTCTTAATTTTCTTTCCTTCAATGTCAATTTCCTTGCAGTACTCTTATTGTATGTTGTCTGTTGCACTGCTGCTTGTTTGTTGTTTTGCACGCACTTTGGTTGTTTCTTTTTGCAGCAGCATGGATCGATACACATTGGTGTAATGCCACTAACCAATGCATTGTCGACTCATACATCCACCAAGTCTGGATCCCAGCAGCTACCAGAGCCACCTGTCTGCATTTTCCAAACCCCAAGGGGCCACTACACCATTTAGCAATATCCGATCTCTCCCAATTGTATGCTTGTTTGGATACCATGATTTTGTAGCAGTTACTTGTAGCAGCAACCCACCAGCACAGTCCCATGGCAACAACCATGACACATCACTGTGCTTGGTGTCAGTATTTGAACACAGTACATCCCCATAGGCTGAATCCTTAAGCAGCCATTACCCTCTTCTATGGAAGACACTCAATGCATTGCTTTTCATTCTCGTACAGCACTGGGCGACTATCACACTGCTACCCAATGTTCCAGTTGGTCCATTCATCCTCTCAAACAACAGGCAAAGTGCGTAGCTATTCCTAAACAGTGCAACAATAATCTTGTTCTGTGCCATGCTCACTGCACTCACAGTCGATGATTCAACAATATGCAACAATACCGAAACAAAACCAAAGTGCAACTCGTTCTCAGGAGAGGGTGCCAAGGGGTGTCCATCGCGTGACATTTATTTCTTTTTGTCAAGTTGCCAATGCGCATCACAAACGTCACTCAATAGTCAATTCGCAAGCACCGCGGCCGAGCTCGGCATTGCCGTGGCAGCGCTCTTCCACACTCTCCGACAAGCGCAGCCGACCAAGGCTTCCACCTCCTCGGCCCTGAGGGCCACCGCGATCAGCTCACCCGAACCGCCACCTCCATCGACTTGGTGGCGTAGACGTGCGCCGGGTCCCTCAGTGCGTCCCGTGACTCCGCCTCCTCGGTCGCGCGAGCCCCGTTGCGACTTCCCGCCCTGCAGATCACCTCCCGGCGGCCCGCCCTGGAGATTCCCCATCCCTTCGAGCCTTCTGATGGGCGACGGAGGCCCGCCGCGGGCGCCGGCGCCCACCTCCCGCATCGGCCGAGTTGACTATTGATCGCGCCCACCGATCGGCTGCCGGCCATCGCACTGGTGGACTGGGGCGGTGCGCCCGGGGGGCAGGGATCAGACGGCCTGACAGGGCGACGCAAGTCGCTGTCAGGACAAGGCACCCATGGATTGGAACCGACAGCTTTTCGAGACGGGGGATTGGACACCTCTGCCTGCGCCGCTCCCACGCCGCCAAATGGTTGCAAAGGTGAAAGGCGGCGTATGTGATCGGACGTGAGAAAATGGGGAAGATTTCGCCGGCAGAGCTCAGCTTTCAGGTTGGACTGCCACACCCAACTGCATCTCCTAGCAGAACCGATATGCACGTTCGCTCCTGACGGGCGGCGCAGCGCATTCGCCGTCAATCGTTCGGCATCACTTGTCCGCAGCCTCGGGCGTCGGTGGCCCACCTTGCACCTTGCCGTCGGTTCCAGCCTCCTGTCTGGCCGCGACGGGCCGGGCCTCCAAGTCGGTTGGGCGCCTCGCGCTCACCACACAGTGACCTCCAATTGTTTTTTGTGTGCGGGGAGACCCCCCCGTTGCGGAAGGCATAGTATTACTTCAATCACCAAATTGGGCGAAATCTTATCACCATCGCCCGCGGGTTAGGTCCTAGCACTCTGCGCTTTTTTTTCTTTTTTTGAATTCTAATGTATTGCACTATGGTTCGAACAAAGGCTGCGCTGGGGGTTACACCGCAGCCGGGGCAGCCAGTCAACGACCCCAAAATAACGCTACTGCCTGCACCAAATCACGTCAACACTATGTCCTAACCTCAGTTTTAGGTTTAGGCTTTAGTTTTAGGTTTCAGGTGTTAGGGTTGAGGGTTTAGGGTTTAGTTTTTAGGTTTAAGGTTTTCAGGTTTTGGGTTTTAGGGTTTAGGTTAGATAAGTTTTGGAGGGAGTTGGTGCAAGCAGTCACCGAGTTTAGTGCGGAAAGTCACCGATTTTTGGTGCAGCCAGTAATTGTATGCCCAACGAACCCCGCGCTACCAACCCGCAGGCGCCCTGCCAGTTGCTGGCGGCAACTCGCGCGCGACAACGCTATCCAGCACAACTCAACTGTCCTGCGACTGGCGCACGGACGCCTCACACACCTTGGCGAGCAACGATGGAGATCTTCACCGCGGGAAGCCCAATAGTCACAATCCACACAAGTGTGCGTGTGCTTTTGTAGTGACAGGCCACGGTTGGAATCACTATGCAAAGAGGGATCTCCACATCTGGAGGTAGAGGCTTGTATGCCACACGCTCCTCCCGTATGCCACACTGTCATCCCAACACGCGAATCTCAGCGGCCATCCTCAGCGGGAATCCAGTTGCAATCTGTTTTCGCGCGCTACTTGCTTGGCGCTGGTGCTCGCCGGTGACTCCAAATGCCGGCCGCAACAACGGAAGAGGAAGGGTCGCGCGTGCTTGCTGTCGGTGTGGGCTCCCTTTCGCCGCGGAGTCCCAGCGCTGGGTCAACGGTTGCCGCGATGGGCCAATCGCGGGGAGTCGACGTGTGCTGACGGGCCAAGCACCGGATTTGGCGTCCAGGTTACCGTTCAGGGCGCTGGGACCTGACTCCGGGTCGCTGGTGATGAGATGCCGTCGCATTTGGTGTTTGGATTCATCTACTCCCATTGCGAAATGGGCGCCTGGACCAACCGCAGTTCTCAACAGACGCGCAGGGAACGCCCCCAATGCGCGGATTGCGTTCCGTCGCTGATGGCTGACGAATCACATCTATGGCAATCTCATCCATATCCTGGCCGAGTATGTCGACGAATGTTGTGGCGTATGTTGCGAGGTGGATTAAGACGGGTTCAAGGAAACGGGAACAGATCATGCAAACGGCACAACCTCCTAAGCAAGTGTGGGCGAGACTCCTATCCATACTGGAAAGATGGTATGGAGTCTACGATGGAAGAAGGAGGCACTCAACACAACCAACAGAACAAGCAAGCAAGGTCTCCGTGGCCACTGATGCTGCAACGACAAAGGCAAAAACGCCTTTCCAGCCACATACCCTCAGAAGTAAACAGCTGGGAGTGCAAAGGAGAAGAGGCAACAAATTGACCCTTGAAACCAAGAAATGAGTTATTCAACAACTGACATCTTGAGCCCTGCAAAGTTTGCAGTACTCGGGTTACATTCTGCCAGGCTTGGTTTTTACTCCGTAAAAACTGAACGTATTTACGTTTTTACGCGTAACAATAGATTTTACGTTTTAACACGTAAAAACGCGTAAAAATACGTAAATGCGACGTTGATACAGCCCCATGTACATAACGACACTACATACAGATTTGGGGAGTCCGTGGAGTGGCAGTCGGAGACATGGGAATGAGTAGAATATGGAATGGGTAGAGAACGAACTTCTGCTCCATGCCAACGTCGCTCTTGCCGAGGGCAAAGTGCGCACTGTGCTGCGGGTGCTGGAGATGGCGGAGGACTGATCATTGTGTGCAACTTTCATCGTGTAACCTGGCGGTCTCAGCGAGCCGTAAAAACGCGAAAATAAGTGTTGAAAAAGTCCCTTTCGAAAATTCAAATGTAAGCGTAAAAACCAAGCCTGCATTCTTCAACGCATTTTCAGCGTGAACAGCGCTCTGAGCATGTTGGCTGTCATGCCGACAGACAGCAAATTCTGTTGAAGTATTTGAGGAAAGGGGGCCAGAGAAATCTGAGTGAAAACCACCTGTCAAATGGTGTCTGAAAAGCGTAGACAAATGGGAATCTATCTTTCGTAGAAAGGAATTATGATCATGCCGACATACTCATGAGCTGCCCATGCCAAATCTGCCCTTTTCATCGTCTACTGGCCATGGATCCCGACTTTGCCACACCAAAAGCGCTCCACCTACCGCAATCTCGCTGATTGCCAAAACCAACGCATCACAGCTTACAGTCACTGTGACGTGTTCAGAGAGCGTAGGCAAATGGGGATTGGGGAATGGCCCACAACTTCCCTTCATGCTGGCGGAGCCATTGTGGGGTGATGCGCAGGCCTCTCCCAAGGTTTATCAATACGCTGCGCATCCCAGGTAAGAGCTCAGTACAGTGGCATGGCAATCTTGCAATGGTCAGATATCTGCGTGAATTTACCCGGGTTCATTTCCGATGCCCTGCAGATGGAGTCCAATAGTGAGACTGCCTGTGCAGGGGAATCGAGTTTATTTTCGTTCCTTATTTTTTGCAGTGCAATTTCGATCTGCTGCAGCGATGGCGTACTCGGCGGTTTTTAAAATATGCGCCACTCGGCCGCCTGCATGATGCAGTCTCGCCCTATTCGCTTTTAATACTAGGTGTTGGAGCACGGCAAGGGATGAGCACCTAAACGCGCCACAGCAGACTCGCAAGTGCTCCAATACCAAACCCACGGTCATGGGCAGCGCCTTTCGAGTCGCCTGTTGCGTGTGGACATCATGTGAATACATTTTCGCGTGAACGCCAGTGTGCCGGAAGTTGGCGCCCCGTGATGGCAAGTGGCACAATGAGCAAGAGAAATTGGCGTTTCTGGAGAATTGGATCGACGGCAGCGACAACTGCACGATCGTTTCGTATCGTAGTGTGACAATGTGACCAATATTTTACTCGCAACGCAGATTAAGCGGCCACAACAGCTTGTTCGTTTCCTGCAGGCCATGTAGGCGTGCAGTGCATCAAACACGTGCGCCACACGGGCCCCGTTTCGTATCGTAATGTGACGATGTGACCATGCGATATTTTACTTGCAACGCAGATTAAGCGGCCACAACAGCTTGTTCGTTTCCTTGAGGCCATGTAGGCGTGCAGTGCATCAAACACGTGCGCCACACGGGCCCCGTATCTCAGCCATTGGATCTGGGACCTCGAATTTCTAACGTGCACGGTTATTCACATGGAAGCGCCCACCTAGCACCCAAACCTGGGAACATCATTCTTCTCGATTACGCAGCACGGAACTGTATAGTTGGCTGACCACCAAACACCTATGTGGCTGCGGCCTACACAATACCTCACACCACATTGTGGTAATGTACACAGCATCCCTTAGGACACCAAACACAATTGTCAAGACAGCTGCCTAATGCACAGCTGCAACCAGCGAAAGAAGGTCCGCTCCCCTCAATCCCCTCGCTCGATCTTCCCTCCAATTTCTGCTTGACATATAACGCCATTGCAAGCCGGCGCTGTCAGTAGTACACATCATCGTGATGCATGTGCGTCGTCAAGTTGAGGGCAGTCAGCATGGGCTCCCCCCTTCTGTTCACCCTGCGAGTCAGCCAGCAACATTTGAGACCCACAGCCGGACTGTGGAGCATCTGGGGCACCACTCACAGCTTGGCATTGACAACAACCGGCCGGCATATATGCGTCGCCGGGTCGCATCAGCCTGAGGGGATGCAGGACAGTGCACGTTGCGCACTATGAACCACGTTACTATCCTTGTTTCACATTGTTCATAAACTGAACAGGTGTTCCATGGACTGCGTGTGGAGCATCATGACGTCAAGTCACCCGTCTCCTCGTTGACTTATCAATGCGCCCACAGAACAATGCAGGTACAGGGACATCCAGCCCCACACCTTCTGTCGCCCACAGAATCCCCACGAACCAGGAAAGGTACCAGTGATCCATGAATGTGCGCGACAGCTGCAGCAATTTGTTCATAGCATCGACTTCGAGAGCAGTTCACCTTCGCAGCGCACTTCGTCAAACTAAGTGCCAATTGGCTGAACTGGATGTGCGCAGCTCAGTTTAGCACACAGGTGAACCAATGGGTCGTAAGTCATGAAACAGGGCCTGTGAACACTTCCCATGCCCACAATGCCCAAGTCATTGGTTCTGCTTGCCACCAATTGATCCAGGCACCAACCAAAGGGGCTTGGCGCAATGACATATGGAACCACAGGCACGTTGAGACAACAGCAATGGTCCATTTCGCATGGCCCTGAGTCGGGGTGGATAGGCAACGCTTCAGCTATTGAACAGACGTAGCCAAAGCTCAATTTCAATGAAATCACACGCGCAATAATGAGGTCACTCAAGCTAGCCCCATTGTGCATTCAACCATTCCACGTTTAACTTGCAGATGGTGCCAGGGCTTTGAAGGCGACAACCTGAACAATACTACTTTGCAGCAATCGTCCATTGAATCATGAGGCATACTCTAGCTGTGCTGGCTTGTGTTCTGTTATATATATTACCAGTTGCCCTTGGACTCCAAGGCTTGGAGGCTTCTACACAATTTCTTACAGAATAGCAAACATTCTTGCAGAAATTCGTGCTCTGGAGGGGTCGATTATCATATGACCTCATGTGTGACATGCAAATGGAGAGTACATGGTGAGATCAACAGAATAAAGAAGGATACCACTTTTAACACATAACAGGCCAGCACACAGCTGCAAGCTCACAAAGATGTCGCAAATTTTCATGCCACCTGCCCCTGCAACAGGTTGCAAAGCCACACCACTGGCTCTTCCACTGATGAGGCAAACAAAAAAGGGCACTTGAATTGTGCAACTCAGCTATGATACAGCAACCAACATGAGCACAGTCTGGACTAATTTCCACCAGCATTCGCCCAACCATTCAACCATGCCCGCTATTGGCTATTATCCCCACCTGAATACGCTGACACCCCCATTGTTGACATCCACTGCCCTGAAACTCTGAGGAGTAAGGCCCAGCGCTGTGCAGAGCATGGCCCTCAGGACAGACTTGTGGGTGACGACAAGGTGCGTGGATCCCTCTGCAGAGAGGATGACTGGGAAGATACACAAGGTGTGAACTGTGGCGCCAAGATGATTATGCAAAGGATAGGAAACAAAGAACTATTCTGGGAAGAGTTGTGGACGAAATTATTCTTGCAAACATTCTGAAGATGCAAGTGCTTAGCTATTTCTGACAAGTGTAGTCGCTGGCCCAAGCTGAGGGGCCAGATGTACCTGTCCAGAAAATGTTCTGTTTGCTGCACTGAGCAGTCGACATTGCTGTACTACATAACTTGATCATATCCTGCTCCAAAAGGAATGTAAGGAATGCCAGTTTAGCTCAGAGTGTTGGAGCGATAATGCTCAACACAGCACAATGAAAACTCTCCTCAGCCTGCCCCAGAGGCTTAGCTGTTATGATGGTGTTCACCTTTCCATGCCTTCTTCGCCTGCTCAAAGACTTCCATTACCGGGTACCGCCCATCAATGCAGAACGAGGCAGGTGTTTCCCTCCAAGCCCTGTGATACAATTCTTGCACATTCAGCAGTGTTTCACCAATGCAAATGCAACAGAAGTGGAATTACAGGCAATATAACATATTTTGAAATGTTTAGCACTTGCATTTGAGCTGTCAAATTCCACACATAGCCCAGCTGGTCAAAGGGGCTGACTGCAGGGGATGAAGTTGACTAAGCTGATGTGTCTTACAGCGACAATCCCAATTGGGTCAAAGATGGCGATCATCAACGCCAGTGACATCGAAGTAGCCTCTCAACATACAGCATCCCCAGAAATGCTCTGCAAGCACACTGGAAAGCCGTGGGGTTCCTCAATCCAGCTTGCCAATGGCACGTGTGGGTAAGGATGCCTCCTCAGAAGATCCACAGGAGTGTCTCTTGAGGATTCTAATTCTTCCACATTTTGAGAACTGGACAATTGATTGCTGTTTTTATTCCACACAATTATCAAATTACTATGTCTCCCACCTGTACTCTTCACTGTGCTTCACAGCTGCATCCTCTGCCAAAGAGAGTGCAAAGCATCGGTGAGCAAACCACCAGTTAACAGAGTCACCCCCAAAAAATACATAACCGATCAGAAACTAACAATGGATATCCCAACAAGTGTAGGATACAGCAAACAAATGATACAGATCAGGCAATGAATCCTTGTCGAATCAATGCTGCACTTACATTGCAAGTATATCCTGCAGCAACAGATGTGTCAAGAACTGCCAGGATTGACTACCCTGCATGTATCTGTGTTTATGTGTCCATCACATCCAGCATTGTCCAACAATGGTCCATGGATAAATGCATTCAGTGCAAATTTAGTCAGCATACAAAGAACAACACAGGCTGAGAGGTGTGGAATTGGGCTGGATCCTATTAAGAACTGGCTACAATGCAAAAGCGTGCCATAGGGTTATGCAGTGCCCAGGACGATCACCCAGCATTTGCTCAATCCATATTACGCTAGATGGCACGAGGCAACAATGTTGGCACCTGAAACACCACAACCTTCCCAAAATATCGCTCTGTTAATCAGGGTCATTGTTGCACTGCGGTGCAGACCCCCATGGTGCACAAAAGCCACAAATACACCTTCCTGTCATCCAACAAATGACATCACGTAATCGGCACTAATCGTGGTGCTTTTGTTCTGAGCTGAACAGTATTCCTTCCATTCCACACCGAGCAACATAAATTCAAGTCATGCATCGCATCGCTGACTCACCAATACACAGAAGACCATATTTGCCGCGATTATAGTCTATTCCATGCACACTATCAACATACATTCAAACATCTTACCATTCCTCATTCCCTGCAGGTAGCCAAGGTGTGCCTCTCGTAACTCGGGCAATGGGATTAATGGTCCCTCTTGGCCCTTCCACATTATGTCTGCTGACTGTCGAGCCCTTTTGAGGGGACTCGAGAAGCAACTGCATCAAGCGAGCAGTACATTAGAAACAACATACAACCTTTTGTCAAGATCAACACACATATGGGCCAACAAGCAGATGTGGTATTTCCTGAGCAAAGGACCACCACATGTTGTTGCAAAGTTTGAACCAAGGAATGACTCAAATGCAGGGAGTTTGTTCCTACAGCGCCAGCACGTGCTATCGTAAATATCGCCACACATTATGTGTTGAGCACTGACTATCGCAGGTTGCCCATGCCCACAAGCTTCTTGTGAGACTGCTGTCATGTCTCAAATGAGCAAACCCACTCGATGGAGTCCATGCATGCACGCACTGACAACTTCCAATCCAGGAACGACGATTGTTGGCGTTCGACCATTTTTCAGACACTGACATTCACCAGGGCGTCAAGATAAACACAACAAAATTGATCACAGCAATGGAACCGAAGCAGACAATTGGCCAATCTGCAACACACTCAGAGCTTCCAAAAATTAGGTAGATCATTCCATTTCCACTTTGCACCATATGTTGCTACAAGTTCACCTTCTCATCAATCGCACTCCATTAATTGCAGTATGAATTGTTTTGATAGAAGTTGTCAAACGGAAAAAACAGTGTCCTTGCACAATCAAAACGATGTCTGTCAGAATTCAATGCCCATCTTTTGCTCATTTCCTTTCGCTCTGGCATCCAAGGAAAGATTAAGGCCCAAAAACCTACCTGTCAAATGGAATCCTGCTGATGGCATTCCGGCATCGCAGCGCCTGTGTCTCCCCGAACAGTGTGAGCTCCGGCTCGTCGCTGGCGCCCTGGACACCGCAAGCAAGCTACCATCGTCGCTACTTCAACTTCTCACTTGGGTGCAGAACACACTGAGACCAAGTCTGAACAACCCATTCCACTAACCTAGCCGGCCACCCAGTTCAAAGGCCTCAGCACTCACCCGTCGCGGCCAGCAAAAAGCTCTATACAACATCGACTTCCACACTTTCCCCACCACACAACACCCGCAGCAGGCATTTGCATAAACTACATTTGACGAATGGACAAGTCACAAGGGCCTCGCACCCCGCACATCCAGGACCCAAAGAGACCAGCGCAATACCCAAGCCACCCTACAAGTGCGCTAACAAACCGTCTCCATCATCCAACTTGCATAAAGCAATCCCCTGACCCACATGACTCTCGGCCATGCGCCAATCATGGTGCCAGCACATCAACCATCCACGCCGATTGCCCAATCCCTTGCAGCTCTCGCGGTGATCGCCCAAGAGATCCGCTTCCTCCCCCCCCCCCCCCCCTCCCCGCCAGCCCCAAGCCCCCCACCTGTATCCTCCCCGCGCTGTTCCAGGTGCTCATCCCGTGCCGCATCACGACGATCGTCTTCTCCGTCGCCATAACGCCCCCGCCGATGAATGTGCTGGTCGCGCCCGCAGTTGTGATGTCCATCCCGCCGGTCTGGAAGGGGCTCCGGGCGGCGGGCCGCGGCGCGGCGGCCTCCCCGGCCACCTCCTCCTCGACCTGCTCGAGGCAAGGCCAAAACTTCAAAAATCCAAGTACAACGCCCCAGTGCAAACGCCGCCGATGCAATTGCGCGACAGGTCGCTCTGCAGGCAAACATCCAGCGCTGCGCGCCGTTCTCGAGGGGGAGCAATCGACAGGATCGGGTCTGCACCGGACCTGCGTGACGGCCGTGGGGGCATCGTCTGGCGAGGCGCGCGTTGGCGGATTGCGTCGGTTGGATCGGAGGCGGAGGTGGAGAGGCGGCTTGGGGCAGCGGCCGCCCGCCTCCAGGCCTCGGAGGGCTTCCAGGGGGCCTGGGTGGGGGCCCGGGGGGCTGGGGCGCGCCACGGGCGCCATTGTAGGGATTGGGAGGAGGGCGCACAACAGTGCGCTGGCGCCCACTTCCGCGCTTATGTTTGCGAGGGCGAGGAAGTGCGGTGCCACGTCAGCAGGAAGTATCCAGCGTTGGAATTGCACCCAAATGATTGCGGCGTCTTCATCTCCGGTGCAGCGAAGCCGTGTGGGCTCTGCGGCGGTCAGTGCGCCTGAACGGCCCAAAAGACAAAAGAAGAAGAGAAAGGGGGGAAAATGTTGCGGTGTCAGCCAAGAATTTGCAGCAGTAACGTAAAAAATATTGGATTAGGAGTTCTAATTGCAAGTTAGATGCAGGCCTTGGATTGGATTGGACTGGATTGGATTGGATTGGATTGGATAGGATTGGGGGAGTGTTGATCGCCATATGGACAGACGGATCGACAGCACCGCATCGCATAGGGTTTCCAGGAAAGCCAAAGCATCGCGATGACAGACAATGCCAGCCATTTCACAGCCACTTTCTGACTGAGATCAATACAACGTCACACAAAATTTCGACTTCAAACAACACCAGCCATCCTAACTCGCTGGGCTACCTATCTACCTGGGCTCCCTTTTCATCGCGCGCGACTACTGATGGGCGACTTTCGCCATATAAATATTCCATCTGACGACGCCATGCGTCTTTGTACAAATGCGATTGCACGGAAGCTGCTCCTCGCATTGCAAATATTGACAGGACACTACAATTATCGGAATCATCAATTTGATTTTTACCTAATTGAGCCATTGATGGTGTTACACAATCCACAGCAGCGAATGCTGCTTTAGTCGCACCCCAGCGCCCATGTCGCACAGGAGGTTGTTTCTCCGAAAACCCAACGTCCATAGTGCACATCTTCGCCGCCAAAGACTCAAGCTCCATGCCGCAAGTCGTCGCTCACAAGTTTGCAGTACCTGCCGATTGTTTCCACAAGATCTTGGATGGATTTTTAAAGATTCGCAAACCTGTCTGCTCTCGGCTGTGGAAACTTCAATCTGTTTGCCTGTCTTCCTCATCACCGCTCACAGACTTTTCAAACACATCATCTCTCGTGCGCTAAATGTTTTGAAAATTATTGCGCATCTTCACTTCCATCGTGCAGCGCAAACACTCGTCGCTATTGCACACGCTTTTGTTCAAAGAATTTTCAAAGGAATACTTCATTCCTACTGTCAATTATCAGGTTGCAGAATACCTTCTATTATTCTTCAACACAGTGCAGCAGCTTGCTCGTGGCACTTGGGCGGCACACGCTGCGCCTACAGCCCTTTGCCGAAAGGTGAGGTCAGAACCCTTGGCCCTTGGTCTCCACTACTGCGTTGGGTGGCGAAAAGCGCATTGGAGGCACCAACAGGACATGCAAGAGCACGCCGAAAATGAACCAATCAACCACGGCCTTGTCAGGCTTGACATATGCCTGTTTCCTTCGGACTCAAGTGCATGTTCGTAAATGTCAACATGCTAGACATCAAGCACCATACTTTGGTGATTGAGTTATCCTCTCAACAACACTCGTGCGAGAATTTTTCTGTACGCCCCTACGAGAGTATCTTCGTATCATTCCAGGCGAAACGTGTTCTCAAAAGGATACCAATCCACAGATGCCAGTCTAGACCGACGGTCCATTAGTTATGTCACAAAGTTTTGACGCAATTTATTTTTGTGACCGCATGTATGACAGTGAACTCTGTGAATGCCGCAGCGCTTAAGAGTGTTTGAAAGCTCTTTGCGCCCCCAGAGCGCAGGGCAACATTTGTTGTCTGCCTTCTAGAGCCGAAAGATAGTTTCACTGTGCATGTCGAGGCTTGCATTTGCATTGGCGCTGGTGCTTTTGATCTGTTGTTGTTAGTGCGTCAGGCTCGGCGAGTTCCGTAAAGCGAGTCATTCAGCGAGTTTACCTTTTTAATCCAGTCGATTTGGACATGATCAAGTTTGGTGTGTTCGTCATGCTTTGGCTCGAGCAGTCAGCAGATTTGCACAACTATCCTTGGCAAAACTTCTGGTCAATTCTCAACGCAAACTTTGTAGCCCATAATACGATATGGGCCCCATATCGAAAACCACTTGCTCAAAGTAGCATGCACACGCGCACATCATGCACGAAGACAGCAGCAGGGCACAACGACAGGGCAGACTTCCCCCCCCAGGCAACCCCAAACTATGAAGAGCCGAAGGCTCTAGCGTGCTGCGCTGCTCCCCCGCACGCCGCACCACCACTTGCCACCGCATCACCAACAGTACTGTCAGCGATGCGCATTACCACCCCGCGTCCCGGGCTTTCTCAAGAAAGGCCACAACTCGCTGTAGTAAAGCGCGAACAGCCGTATAAGCCCCTCACGGACGTCTTCCTCCCTGTGCGCAGCATCGCGGTACGGCCGTCCCATACCTGGCCGCCTCGCCCCGCCAGAAACTGCCCCTGCCGGGGCCAGCGTCCGGCGAGCAGTGTCGGAGTGCAGTCGCAACCCATGCCCGAGGCCCCGCCGCTGGCGGCCATCGGATTCGGAGGGTCGGTTCCCTGCGGGCGGCCCGGGCGGCGGGCCAGACGCGCCGGGAAGGGGCCAGGCGGAAAGGTCCGCCGCCCCTTGGTGCGCGAGCGGATCGCGGGGTCAGGGGGAGGGGCGATCGGAGGGCGCAACGGGGAGCTGTCGCGGGAGGACTACGGGAGATTCGTGCAGCATTTCAGGCAGGCGTCGCCGTACATAATCGGCCACCACGGCTCCACATTCGTGGTGGTGATCCCCGGGGAGGTGCGGACACCATCCCTGGCCGGGATGTCGTTGTGGGAGGGGTGGCGCAGTCGCGTTTGTGGATTGGTTGCTGAGCGAAGCCCGACGTCTCGTCCTGTCGACGGGGCCGGTGTTGTTGGGCTGGCGCCGGGTCGTGGGTTTGTGCGATTCGGCGGCCGGCCGGGCGTGAATGTGCGCAGAGCCCCCGCCAGGGTGATCCTGCAGCCGGGGACGTCAGGTTGTAAATGGGGATTAAGGAGCATTTGAAACATGTTTTGGATTGATCGTGTAGGCATTGTGCAGTCATTGTTGGATCAAATCAAAGAAAGGATTCGTACACATGGGACACAAAGGTATATTGAAGGTGGTCCTTTGGACCTTTGCGATGCGGCCGCTTCCCTGTGGGCCCCATTGCTCTTTCGGTCATGGGAATGAGCTGGGTTTCATGGTTGAGGGTGAAGTTGGCCACAAGCGCTGGACATACTGGTGCACAGAACGGGAACGCCACACTTTCTTAAAGTTGCAACTCCCTACAACCTGAATGTCAGCGACAACAGCAACAACGCCTGCACACACCGCAGGTTGTGGAGGAGAGCGAGCTGCTGGAGCGGCTGCTTGAAGACTTGGCACTCCTGCATGGTGCGGCAGGCTCCATGTTCCTGACTTCAATTTGCATGCAATTCTCACAGCATTACTAGAAGAATTTGAGGGTTTCCATCCCACGTTCAGCGAAACGATTTCGTCATCTGCATGCGCCTATCCGACGCAGATCAATGCTCCACTTGGACAGTGTTGGGCCAATCCTCAAAATTAGAAAAAATAGACAAAATGCCTTCAAGCCATGAAACGGTGATGTCACCCTCTGCATTGCAGAATTCCATGCCATCGAATGCTTGTTCATCGTTGCCTGAATTTCAGTTGGCACTTGAAATGTCAAGCATCGTCATGAAGGATTATTTTGGGTTCTTCATTGGGGATGGAGGTGCCCATCCCTGGCCTGTTTCTTATTTCTGACATTGTTTGAATCGCAGCTCCTTTTTCTTTACTCCAGTACTCAAGAAGCTCACCTATTGAAGTTCAAGGTTTTCAACAACTGTTCCAAACCAATGATAAACCATTGACAGGTGTAATGAACAAGGATTGATCCACCATTTCAAAAAGCCATTGCTGTTGAGGTTGTAACAGCAGCAATCATGTGGGACTGCCTAGTTCGGAAGTCCTCCGACCGCAGAAATTAAAAAATAAACAAAACAATGGAAAAGTAAATTAAGAGATACGATTGACTCTGCAGGGGAAAACAGCACACCAGTGCCTCAAAGGCAGTGATGAGCAGCTGTTCATCCAATTGATGTTTCATTCTGTTACCCAGCTGTTTCAATTTTCAGAACATTCATTTGCTCCCAATTTGCTTGAAACTTGTACACCACTTCTCCAGCTCTTGGTGTGCGGCTGGTGGTGGTGGTTGGCACGCAGTGCCTGACAGACAAGACCCTGCGGGCGCGGGGTCTGCCACCTCGTTATGCCAATGGCCTGCGCATCACGGATGCAGAGGCCCTACAGGCTGCAGTGGAGGCTGCAGGCCGCACTCGTGCCAAAGTGGAGGGGTATCTTTCAAAGGTGGGGCTTGAAGAAAACAGAGCTGCTTACTTGCAATTGGTGCCATGTTCACATCATAGGATTACTTGTTGAGGCGAAGATCTAGTCAGGTGCCACAGTGTTCATTTCTAGGGGGCATAAAGTAACACACTGACGAATTGCTCACATCTCAGGCAAGGACGTTGCTGTATATGTTGGATGCTATTGTGTTGCATACAGAGCAATACAGAAGTCAAGCCGATTAGTCATCTGAGGAGGAAGCAGAAGAACACTGGGCAGGCATGTCTGGCTCCTTGGGCAAACAAAATTGGGGTATTTGGGGGCCTAGGGGCAATTGTTTGTGAGGCACAACTGCTGAACAAGTCCTCAATATTGATATTGGAGCGACTCAGCTGCAATGAAGCTTGACATTGCACATTGAAGGGATTAAACGCCCGTTGCAGTGAACACCGCTCAGTAGCAGGGGGGTCATGCACATACAGAGCAGAACCAGAGCACTGAAAACAGGTCCTTTGCACTTCAAGGGATGCAGTGTTGGAGCGTTGTCATGGAATATTCAACTTATGGGCAAAGGTCAATTGGCACATGAAGGCAGGCAGGGCAGAATGCCGGGACCATGATGTGGGGAAAGCAAATGTGAACATCTCCATCACCCAGAAGAGAAGACGCTAGGCATGGGAGCGACCACGCAAGAGTGTTGCAAATTTCATCAAAAAGAACATCAGTGTCCCCTTTTTTGATGTATTTCCCAGAAGTTGTGTGTATTGGGTGGTGTCAATGCTGTTCACATCCACAAGCATATATTGCAGCAAATGTTGGCAATGCAGTTCTTCTCTCCTCGCGAATCATTTGTGCGGTTTGTCGTAAAATTCCAAGAGTCGACTCTGAGGTGCAGGGGATGTTGTTCAATTCCACAGACTGCCTCTGTGCCAATGATGCGCCGCCACACCAAAGGGGATGGTGAAGTTCATCCACCAGGGCTGAGAGTGGTTGGAGGGAACTATGTGACGGCCAAACGGCTGGGAATCGTTGATGGCGTAGACTTCGAGTTCACAGGAGAGGTGAATGACAGCTAAGGCATTGGGCTTGGTCGCAGACTTTCATATCAACATGTGCACTGACGTGCGCACAGCAAAGTTCCAAACTGTGGCAATCGGGTCTGTTTCAAACCTGCAGTTGACTTGGGCAGTTAGTAATGCCTATGATTGATGCTGTCACTTCCCATTGCATGCCCAAGGTCCTAATAGGCACACAGCATGATGGCACAGGAAGCATGCTGTGGTGTGCAAGACAATTTGTTTGAAACACTAGTCACAATGGCAATGGGCAGGGAATGCAGAAGCGTGACTTGACTCTTGTCTCACATTGAGCTCATCCCTGAGGACATCTGGGAGACCAGTTAGCACAGTACAGCAGCACAATGCTGCTGCATTAAGCTGTGCAGTCTTAGCCACCACTGTCTTTCCACCTTCAGGGCGCATGCTCTTGAAAGCAGTCATGGCCGCTTTGAAGCGGTTGAATCCCCAACACAATCGTCGTGCAGATTTTGTTACATGATTCGTGAGATTGTGCATGTGCCAAGCGATGTTCATATGTGCAGTGACTGTCTGCATGGTTGTTCTTTGCCCCCATTTGAACTTCTGTCGTTAATTGATGCATAGGTTCGGTCTGTGCTTTGCTCAGACATCAAGCAACAATTGGACTCCCGGAACATCGTGCTTCTCACAAGCATAGGTCAGTCATGTGCTTACCAATCCACAAAGAATCTTGCATGAAATTGCCCCTTTTTCACGGTAGCAAAAAGACTTAGATATGTTCTGATTGGATGGGGATGGAACCTGAATCCAACGATGCAACGATGTGGAACAACAAAAGTCACGTGTGTTTTCCATAATTTCAAGCCTGGCTTGTTGTGTTTGGTGCTGGCATCATGATGGTGCTAAAAAGAGACAAAAATCTTGCTGAGAGAGGGTGCATGACATGTTTGTTTCTTTCCGTAGAAACCTCTATGCTTTGGCATTCACATATTATTCCATCGTTTTTTGGTGCTGCGAAGTGCATATGTTGATTGAAATCAATTCCACCTAAAGCAAGCAACGCTGTGTCTCAGCTCACCCACATACCCAACTCACCACATTCTGCATTGCAGTACAATCCCTGCAATCGCACTACCAAGCAAGGCTGGTGCTTAACATGTGGCGGCAGGTGCTCCCACAACCCCTCACCCGTTGCTGCCCTGTGGCCAGGATATAGCCCCTCTGGCCAGGTTTTGAACTGCAATGTCTACGATGTTGGGCTCCATTCTGCTGTCGGGGTGAGTCGTGCCTTCATTGCCTGTGAAACAACTCACATGGAAGGCCTGGGCTATGCCACATGATGGGCAACAACACTGCTGGCCAACGCTGTGAAGCAAAACTCTGCTTCGTACAACGGAAAGTGTCATGAAAGTCTCAAATCATGTTCTGCCTACAACAGCACGACTGCTAACTACGTCATTGCAAGAGGCAGTGACGTCTGAAGTGCGGCCTTGCAGAGCAGAGTATCTGTTGACAAGTCGAGCGGTGCAAGTACAGTCACCGCTTTCACTGTACGGGACACACCACACCAGACTTCGTCTTGCATAGTACCAATCTTTTGGTGGCATTATTCTCAGAAGTGTACTCATATTCATTCTATGTATCCACGTATCGATGTCAACTCAAGTCGGGTGTAGCATCATTGGTTTACCAAAGCATAAACAGAAATATTTGCTTTTTGCACGTCCAGCCCCTCAACTTTCCATATTGTACTTGATAACTGTATTTACAGACTGTACACAGGGTATGGTGGGCCTCGAAGGTGATGGTGGTTGTATCCATCGTTGGCATTTGCTCCAGAACTTTTGTCTTGTCCAACCCCTCATGTTATTCGGCATAGCCTTGTTCTGTGGTAAATGGACAACACATAGTGTGATGAATGCATTCACTGCGGACATGAGAAACAAGACATGTGGCCAACATGGCTCAATTGCCTCCAAGCACTGCAAGTGCCATGCCACTTGAGACTGCCACGACGATTCAAGGCCCAGGGTGCACTCTCGCTCTGTTGTATGTTGTTTGCAGAGATGAGCATCTTGTCTGCATCTTTTGTTGTATTGTATGCATTTTTGCAGATCACTCTGTATCAGCACCTGCATCTCAGGCCACACTGTTAGTGCTGCTGCTTCTCAAAAATTTCTGCTCAGCAGCGCTGGCGTCACACGAGCTGCAGTGGTGGACTTGTGTCTGTGCTGAAGATGCTGTGGCTCAAGAACACCTGTCATCGCCAATTAGGCACAAAAGGCGGCTTTCTGTCGCAACCTGGCAATGCTTTTCAAGGATTATTACCTGTAACTGGAATTCCCTCTTGCAGCTGGCCACCATTGCCTCGTTGAGTTAACAACAACAGCAACAATAATTGCAAATGGCTGATTGCAGAATATTGCCAATTTAAGTGGCTGATAGCTCAGACGAATTCACCACTGTCGCCACATTTTAGGAGTGGACAATTGTCGTGCAATACTTTATTGGTTCTCTGCGTTTGCCTCCTGCAGCTTGATGCGGACAAGATCTGCTGTGTTCACCTTGGCGACATCGACAAGTTGAACCTGCGGCCCTGGGTGCCTCTAAGCGACGCATACGAATTCATAGACGGAAAGCCAGAGGCGGCGGTGAGTGTAGTGATCGAGTCCTGAAATGGAAAGGAATCTAGGCGTTCTGAATATCGTTTGGGTTGCGTTGCCAAACGGGCGCCCAGCATGCAGACCTCAATGTCTACAGCTCTTTTCGTGTCAGCCATCGACTTCAGTTCCATGCAATGTATCGTGTGATGATGGGCTAGTTTGCACATTGTAAAAAGCATCATTGACCATTACAAAACACCATCATATTGGCTAAAAGTCGTTGCCGTGGTTATTCCCGCTTCTGTTCTGTTGCAGGGCGAAGGTTCTGGTGGATTGCAGGGCGTTAGCAGATCCAACGGGCGGTGCCAAAGGATCAATGCATACCTGGAGAAGCCGGTGAACCCAGAGCTGCCAAGATCAGTCCTGGCATGCATCCTGGCTTGCCACGAGGGGGTCAACCGATCGCATCTTGTGGATGCCAAAGTGAGCAGAGCATACGACACATCAAATGCTGCTAGAGTGAAATGTGCATAGTAAGAAACATGCGATTTTGTGGCACATGTGGGGAAAGGAAGGAAATGAATCGAAGGACAGCCATGAGCGTGGCGCGTTTGAGGGTTGCGAAAGTTAGAGACTGGTCGCAATCCTTTCTTCGTTGTTCCAGAACAATGTGTCGAAGGTAAAAATTAGCAGAAAAGAACACAGTACTCGTGGTTTAGTAGAACGCCGTGCCATGCTCAGACAGTGCACCTATTAACGCATTGCAGACAACCACATGGACCACGGGCACATCCGGGTGCAGATTGAGCAAGTACCCGGCCCGCAGCATTGGTGGTTTATGGCAGTTTACAGCGGGGGTTCATCCAGATGTGACATATCGCTGCCCTCAGTAGGTGCCGTTTCAGGGTGCACCCAAACATTGTCAAACTGCTGCGTGTTTCTTCATAATGGATTTGTAGTAAGTGTTAAAGCAAATGGATTGCTGCAAAGACGTTTTTGAGTAGGACCAAATCACGTGGGTGTTCTGCACCTTGTTGTTGGCGCCACTATCAGCGGGGTGTGGCGTGCCTCAGGTGGACGGCGGCCTGCTGCTGGAGCTGTATACAAGGGACGGCCTAGGCACCATGATTTCGACAGACTTCTACCAGGGCATCCGGCAAGCCCGAGCGGGTGACTTGCCCCTCATACACGAGCTGCTGCGGCCTCTCCAGGCTGCCGGCGTGATCCTGCAGCGCTCCTTTGAGCAGCTCGCTGCTGAAGCGAGCAGCTTCAGGGTGTTCGAGCAGGTCAAAACCCACCTGCCGTTTGCGCAGCATGGATTCCCCATTTGCACGATTTCTTGCGGTTTTGAAGTATCGTTAAGTTATCTGTCCCATTGCATCAACACGTTTTGCATTCTTATTATACAGAGAGGGTGCAGGGGAAAAATTGATCCTGCGTGGTGAATCGCTGGGCATGATCGGGACATTCAGTGCAATGCCACTGGTGCATCAAATAAAGATTGATGTTCTGTCTGGCAACGATAACCAATCGAAAAGTCAGCAGGAGGGAAAAGTCGCGTATCAATGTCTCACCAAGCGCCGTGCCATCGAATTGAGGCCAATTCGCATCATGGTGTTATTGTGATTTTCAACACAATGTAAATAGTTACAAAATGGAACTGCCGTGTTGTCTGAACTGTTGTGTTTTGGGCCAATGAACAGGTGTGTTGAAAACATTGCCGGAGATGCTTTCTTTCAAATTGGCAGTCCTAAATACCATGTTGTATTCTGAGCTCGTGCTGGGGGCAGTTGTTCCGGAAAGGAATGTTTGGTTGGGAGATATGCTTGGCCAGGTTTGTCATTTAGGTGAATGGCCGATGTGCCTTTGTTTGCGACGTTTTAATAGTGGCCTTTGCAGCATCAGAGGGTACAGTATTCACGAATTCCAGAATGCCGAACCACAGGAGGCTACAGTACACATCTGCACCAGATTAGGTTGTAGTTTCTAGGACATGAGAGATAAGGCTCAAAGGTTGGAACTATAGCAGCTGCCGTTGGTCAAATTGCCCAGCACCACGCCTGGCCTCGCTCCAGCAGGCTCAAGAATATTGATTTATCATAATCTAGTGATGAAGCCAATGGAACATCAACCCCAGTACTCTGACGCTTTGGGGCAGATTCAACCCCATACCACTGGTGTTTCTGATGCTCGAATGCTGTGGCCCAGTGTGTGAAAGGTCCTGTTTTGACCTTTGCAGGCAAAATGAGCCAAGGAATTGATCGTTAGTGTGGTGATGGAGCAGGAGGGCCGCATCCTGGCTTGCGCCTGTGCTTCGGACTTGGGATTCAGCAGCGATGGCGTGCAGGTGGTGGAGCTCGGTGCGTTCTGCGTGCACCCAGCCAACAGATCCCAAGGCTTGGGCGATTCCCTGCTGGACTACATCGAGCAGGTGAAGCACCATCTCGGAAACGAAAGCACTGTCGACGACAAGGAAGAAAGAGATATTTGAAGAGATGAAGTTATTCTCTGTTGCATCACATCCTTGTTGCTTGGCAGCATCTCCATTTGCTTTGGCAGTTTTGTGCATCATGCATGCCATTTCTCTGTCGAACTTTGTCAGCGCACAATAGCACCTGCATGCCAAACAGGGTCAGTTCTTTACGAGTGTAGCATTTTGCCTTGCATCGAATTGGGGCCAACTCGAGCGTCATGGCCCCAAATAAACAATTCATCCATTGGGGCAGATATAGTCGAATTGTCATTTTTCTTGCTGCACTCAATCACCAGAGTGACCCACAAGTGTGACTCACAGCAACCAAGCTGTCTATTCCCGAAGCAGAGCTTGGCTCCGTGACTCGCTAACCCAAATCTGGGACCACGAATTGAGTCGGCTCATGTTCATACTGTGCCTCGTTGTCCTAAAATCCCACAGCCCCCCTCCTGATAGTGTGGGACGTGGAAACAATGGCATTGTGCCACGCGGCCCAGCACCCCTATGCGGCAACCCAAGCGGTGGTGTTGTCTCTCTGCTGCCATTAGTGCTGTGTGTTTGGCAGGTAGGGCTCAAAAAAAGTCCGCCCACCACACTACCGGCAGTGAATTTTTGGCAAAACAGACCATAGCGTTGACGCATTGCCCCTTCGATCCCCAGGAGATAAGGGACACTAAGCGCCGCAGGTTAGTCCTGCTGACGACACGGACTGCGGACTGGTTCGTGCAGCGGGGCTTCCTGTGGGTCGGGCCCGCCCACGCCAGCGACCTGCTGCCCGTAAAACGGCGCTGCATGGTGGCGCCCAGCCGCAACTCCCAACTGTACGTGAAGGACATCCTCCCAATCAGCCCGTCAGAGGCGCCCGCCGGGAAGCGCGTGGGATTTTGAGGCCGCCACGGAATTTGACCCTGCTGGGATTGGATCATTCCACCTGGGGTGTCCTTTCCTGCTTCACGGTTGGATGCTCGAGGCCCCAGGGTGGAAACTGGGTTGGCGAACGCACTTCGACGAAAGGGGTCGCCGACTTGCTCGCGATTGACAGGCGCCGATCCCTTGGCGGAAATCTGTGGTCCTGATGGAGCACAGACGCCCCTGATCGATGAGGTCTGGATTTGGTCGAGCCGCCTATCAGGGCAGCTGGGCGATGGGCAAATGGGCGCGCAGATCGTGGCGCTTTGCTCTGCCGATCCTACCCCGACGCATGGAGGGCGGCATTCAGCTCGCCGGCGCACAGGGAGCGCCCAGTCGAGTCAAGTGCTGGGTCGATGGTTAGGGATAGCCCCTGCGGTGTTGACAACACTGAGACTCCCGTTGGGCTCAACGTCTGGGCAAAAAGTTGTGGCACTGTTGCATTTCCTTGCAATCAGAGGAAAAGGCAAGCTGTGAACAGAGAACTCAGTGCAGACACCGACCTCGCCATCACAGGTGGCGGGGGCAAAGTAGCCACACAGTATACCCATGTGTACATTTAGTCCAACTCAACCACAGAGTATACATAAAACGCAGCAAGCCCAACGAGCTTCCATCGGTGAATTTGCTTTAATGCAACAGAAAACAGTTCATCATGACACACCTCCTTCGTCCCAACTTCCACACAAAAGCACAATAAACAAACCACCACACCTCACAAAAGAGAAATGAGGCCACACCACAAACCACAGTCATCGCATTATCAATGATACATATTGCAAGTCACACTCATGAACAACAATCAAATTATCCTCTCCCATGCTATGTCTTTTGAAATAGAAAACAGATGAGTTTGGTCAGTGTGAACGATGGCGCTTTTCTTCTGCTGATCTTGTGCTATCCACAATTGTGCAAATAGCTTGCTCTTCAACTGCCAAGGCCTCAACCAAAAAGGCTGGAACTTGCCATCCAATCTTTTGTGGCCCTCATAATGTTCATACAAGAACCCACTGGCCCACTTCACAGCGATGATGCTTCGAACATTAGTCCATTATGTCATTTGCTTCATCTCATTTTTGCTGCATTTGTGCCACACATTCTCCCACCACATCAATGAGCCACCCCACAACTCCAACGTGAAAGCTGGGTGAATTCATGTGGGACATAATTATACTCGTCACCGCCTGTCCTACCAATTCATACAACTCCTTTTGGGCCTAAATCATGTGCCGGATGGGGTCACTCAACGTTTGTACAATCCACTCAACTAAGCAATCGCTGTTATGGGCATGAGATGTCACCAAGTATTGACACACATCATCTCGTTGGCACCACCACTGTCTCACTAAAGCAGAGTTGCTTTATTGTGTCGCTCTACACAATAGGATGAATTATCACACACGATGCTTCACAGCCTCCCTGTCACCTTGATCCATTCTTGTGAGCGCAAGAGAAGCACTTCTGCATTCGTTGCTTTGGTCGAAAACGCCATGTTCCGGCGTGTCATATAACCAACAACCAAAAAAGTATGGCAATACCCAGTTGAGTTCTCTCACGAACATCCCAAAAATTCAAACCAAATGGCTTGTCCTCGATGATAAATGTACGGGAAATGCCCTAACAAATTCCACAAGGACCAAAATGTGAAGGATTTAAACGATCCCAAAAAGTACCCAAAATGAAAGTATCCCAAAATGTACCTCATGAACCATTTGCTACAATTCCTTTGTACCCAGAATGGACCTCATGAACCTTTTGTTGCAATTCCCTTGTAATTCTCACTCCAGTGATACCCTGACTGAATCCCTCATACCTCAACCCTCTTACTATGAGGATGAAAAGGGGATATGACTCAGTCAGGGTGTCACTGCGAATGGTATTACACCCTTCCAAAGCAAATGAGTGTGAGGCTCTCTTCCATGCTATACAAAGAGGATATAGGACCTCCCTAGTGGGAAGAATCACACAACAAGTGCACCATAAAGAGGGAAAACATGTACTTGGGGGCTTTGATGGCCAGAGCCCGCGTTTCAGCAACAAACGAAATGCCCAAATTCTTATTGGGATCCAAAGGGTTGCAAGCATGTCCATTTCCCTCCATAGGGCTCCTATTGGCTTCATTTGGCTCCTCATGGTTGTTCTAGGCTCCCCCATGCCCTTCTTGGTATCAAGGTGCCATGCCGGCATGCTTGGGCGCATTTTATCGCCACAGGGAGGGGGGATTCGAGGCACCGCTAGGTTTCACAGGGCCCCTCTGGGCTCCCCTCAGCTCCTCTGAGCACCCCAAGGCCATTTATCACAATGGAGGGAGAAAGAGAGAAGGGGCGTCAGTGTGATCCACTCGGGCCTTTAGGAACCACTTGGGCCGTTGGGGATATCTAGGTCCATGGGGGTTGTTGGGATACTCTTGGGGTTTGGGGCGCCATTGGGATCCATTGGGTGCCGTTGGCATCCACTGGGCGCAAGGACCTACTCCAGGCCTCTGGCTTCATACGACTTCTAGACTCCTTCTTAATGCAGTAGACCCCAAAAGAAGGTGCCACCACAGAGCACGGCGCCACAATAGGCGTGAGTACGTGCCACCCCAGATGTCACAGAAGTCCAACAAGCGCCCTTAACTCCAGTCAGTCCAAAGGTGACACAGTTGAACAAGGGGCACTGCCGCATATGCTGGCCATCCCACCATGGCACAGTTGGCACCAAAAGTGCCGCTCGCTATGGACGCCACCTTGAGCGCCACTCAGCACCACCTAGGGGAGGCACGAGACGGGCCAGAGGTGTGGTGCCCCCGGGCGCCACAAAACACGGGGGGATAGGGGTAAAAGTGTTGCAAGACAGAATAAATTGTTCATTAAATGAGGCATATTGTCATTTCTCCTCCACGTTCAATGAGATCTACCAGGATCCCTGAAATAGAACAAGACAGAAATATAGGAGATAACACCAAGTGTGTTACGTGGCATATCCATTGCCAAAGAGCGGTGTCCACACCAGCAACCCAGGCAGTGAAGAGCATAGCAAAAAAGATAGAACAGAAAGAAAGTGGGCCACAAACTATCCAAACCCCCACCGCCGCAACCCATAGTGCATCAAGCAAAACACATTGAGGCAAACAATGCTCCACCAAGGAAAGTGGCGGCTTAGGTCAGAATGAAGGCAAACTATGCTAATTGACAAAGACCAACGTGGGAAGAACTCCACCCACAACAACTCCTTCCCACAAAGGAAAAAGGCAGTGCCCCAAGCACCATACAGCTTGTACCCCGGTGCCAATGAGTCCATTAAACGCCCCTCGCAACCACCTTTTCCAATTGCGTTGGGCAGCCGAGAGGTCATGGTACGGGCGCAAATTGCACAAGCCTCTTGGGCAGCTTCCCCCATACAGCACTCCTGCTGCTCGCTTGAAACGTAGGATAATTGTGTGCATCTGATTTGACACAAACTGCCCATCGGGCCACGACCCGTACCACCCGTCGGGTGGCAACCTATACCGGATCCGACATGTGCATGAGGCAACCGACCAGCACATCAACAATGTGCCCCACCTTTGCTTGCAACGTTGCGAGTGTCTCAACAATGGTGTTCTGAAGGCCCTTTAGAAACGTATGGTGGTGGCGAAGCTCCATTTGGCTTCACTAGGCGTCCTTGGGCGTCAGTGAACTCCACTAGGCATTGTCGGCTCCAGTGGTGGCAAACATCTCCTTGGGCTTCAGCTGGCTCCACTAGCCCCACGTGGTAGCAGTCACTTGAGCGACTGGCTCCCCCACCAGCACCTCTTGTAGATCCTTGATCACCAGCTGTGTCTCCTCCGACGTCTTGTTGAATCTATATTTGGTGCTTTCTAGTAGATTCAGAGCACAAGCTTTACTTGCTCCACTGCTCCAACAAACGGACTTTACTTCCTCATGTAGCTTAGGATTGGGGCGGGTTGAACCTTATTGTAATTGACTTTGCTCATTCCTTTTGGTCAACGCAAATTTATGGTTTTTATGGTGTGTAAATCATCTTTGTTGGAGGATAGTGGAAGATTTGACGTAATGTGCTAATATTCTTGCCATATTATGAGCCTCAAATAAATTATGTTTGCATTAAAGCGACACCAATTGAAAGAAGCGCACAATGCTGTCTTTGGTTTAGCTTGTTGATTCCAACACAGCCTCGGGTGCTGATTCGTGTTCTTCTTATTGCCGAAATTGGTCGGCCGACAGGACCTTCCATAGGCTAGTTGGTAACACTGGCTTGCTAATAGAAAACTACACATGAAGCATTATCCCAGAATTGGGTTGCTTTGGTTGTGCTGTCAATAACTTCATGGCTCAGTATTCATTGGCAGCTATCATGGTCCCAAGAAATGTTGCTATTGTACCCCTTTACCCACAGTCCCTATTGGAAACTCAACAGCATTGAGGAAGGACCCATAACCATTAGGGCAAATTTTCTCTCTCTAGATGCATATTTTGTTGTTTCAAATTTTATGTGAACGTCATTTCTTGCATGTTTTGTACCCTCCCCCATTTTATGTGATGCAAGAAGGGATAGATTCGTGCATTGTCAAAATTGGGAACTAGCTTGTTGTTTGTCAAGGTCCTATGATGAAACAGAAACAATTTTGGTTCAACTACATGATGGGCTTCCCGAGCCGCCCAACATACGGTCACCTTTAGTCAAATGTGGAGGATGATGCTCCGTGGCTGATTATAATGTGTAGACCATCATGCATTGGTGCCAAATTGGCTCGGAAGATGTCTGCTTGAGCTATATCATGATCACATGAATCTAAAATTGGTACAGTGAAACATGTTATCGAATTGTTCCCATCAGCACATAGTGGCCCTCACTAGGATTGGTTTGGGTCGGTGGGCCCATAGCAGCGATCACACTACAAATACTGCAGGAGCACATTGTTCACACGAGGTTCACATCATAGCATGGACTGGAGTAGGTGATAGGCAAAATGCAAAAATATTCCCTTTCGCACC